AACTATGTACCATGAACTGAAATGGACAATGAAAATGCAGTAGTGAACCAAACTCACATGGTTGTTTCCCTCAGGAGCTTAGACTCTAATTGTGATAATATTGATAGAGAATGGAGAAAGGAAGCAGGTTTTCATGAGAATATGAGTTTGTTTCTTGAATCAAGATTTAGGGAAATTTGATGGTTAATATCTTAGAGATGATCTATAGCAACTCCTCTAACTTTAGAAAGTTTAGCCAAGAAAAAATCCTCTAGGCTGGTATTTCTTAAGAGGGTAGAGGGATGGACCCAATTCCAACGTCGGGGGGAGGTTCCCACACAACGCCAAGCAATTCTCAGACACCAGCAGCATGTCTGAAAACTCAACTCAATTCTAACACTGTCTACCTGAAGATAGTATCAGATCCCACAGGTTAAGGGCTCAGTCCCACAACGCTGCTCCCACTCCACTTCAGATGCCAATCACAAGTAGTAGGTCACCAGGTTACCCACAACTTCTGTCCAATTTTGCTAAAAATCAGAGGTCCCCATGACCCCCCCCTCAGGTTCAATTCATTTGCTAAAGTGGCTCACAGAACTCAGGAAAAGAGTTTACTGACATTTACCGGTTTATTATAAAAAGATATGATAAAAGATACAGATGAACATCCAGATGGAAGAGATTCTTAGGGCAAGGTTATGTGGGAATGAGTACAGAGCTTCCATGCCCTCTCCAGGCACGTTTCTCTCCTCGAACCTTCACGTGTTCACCAACCAGGAAGATCCCTGAACCCAGTCCTTTGGGGGTTTTATGAAGGCTTCGTTACACAGGCATGATTGATTAAATCATTGGTCATTGGCAATTGATTCAACTTCCAGCCTCTCTCCCCTCCCTGGAGCTCAGGGGGTGGGGCAGAAAGTTCCAACCGTCTAATCCAACCCTCTAAGACACCTTTATCACTCTCATCACTTAGGAAATTCCTAGGGTTTTAGGAGCTCTGTACCAGAATCAGGACGAAGACCAAATATACATTTCTTATCATAAATCACAATTTCACAGAGGGCTACAGGCATTTTGGATGGAACAATGTGCTGAATTTTACTGCACACTGCAAACTGTTTACAATGCCTAGCCCCCACCCACTCGGTGTCAATATCACCTCCTAGTCATTGTGACACCTATAAATGTGTCCACATTTCCAAATGCCCCCTGGAGGAAGTACTACTGCCTCCGGTAGAGAATCTTGTCCTAGACAGCTGGATATAAGAGCGTGCACATTAGGTAAAATAACATTAATAGGCACACCTTGAATTACAAGCCTCCGAATTGTTTATAATCTATTAAATAAATGCAAGATTCCATCTGTCTCTGCCCACATTTTTCTGCCACCACAAGAAGACAACAAATCTACTCTGGATTGACAGCCCCAACTGGTGGTCGTCAGTGGAAATTGTTCAAGATAAAAATTGACTTCATTCCAGACAAAGCAGTGTTCGTGGGATCACAGCTCAGTTGATTTCTTGTATGGGGACATAAACCATCTTTTTAAAGCTCTTCTTGTCTCTCCTTTCTCTTCCAAATTTTATTTCCTTAAAAATAAAAATCACCTATCTCTTCATATCTTCATTTTTATATCAAAAATGTCTATGATAAACCAACAGAATTAGCAAAACACTCTCACTAAGAAAAAGAAAGACAATATATTTCGAAATAAAAATAGTTATAATGAAGAATCAACCATTATCAATAGACTCTAAAAGCCTTAATATTGTCCAGGAGCCTCCTTGAAAATCATCATTTGTCTCTCTCAACCTCTAATACTCTACTAATTTAATGGAATTTACCTTAACCTGAAGCAATGTGAAAGAAACAATTACTGAATGCTATTTTTATATTTTAGTTAAATACTATAATTTTAACTATAATTTTCATCTTTTTATTATAAAAGTATAAAATTTAAAGATACATTTTGGGAAAATGGGCACAATTAATTATCGGTACATTAAGGGGTTTCCACTAGATGATTTCTGAGTTGACTTCCTGTGGTACAATCGTCTGATTCTATGATATTATGTCTATGGTAAATTGATGAATGCTGGACAGTCAACTTATAAATGGACTTTGGGCTAAAACCTGTTTGTGAGTTATAGTCTCTATAAGCATAAAAAACATAGTCAGCATAACTACACCTGTCTTTATAAGCAGCTAGATACTGGTAATATTAATCACTAACAAAGATTGAGCTCTTGCTGTATCCCAGTCACAAAGCTGACTGACAAGCACTAACTTCATACAAATGCACAAATGCATGGGCATCATGACTGTTTTTGTCTTTTATAATTCCTAATTTAGACACGTTTGAAGGTTTCTGTATGAAGTTACAAGAATACTGGGCCACACTGGAAAATGCAGTGGCAAAGATGTAGCCTCTCTTTTCTATTATTTGAAAGTTAGGAGAACATAAATTACTTTTTAAACCATATTACTCTGTATATTACTAAGTAAATTGACCTTTAGAACATAAGAGCTGACTGATCGAGTCACAGAGTACTTTGACAAGTGAAAAAATTCTTCAAGGCGTCTTTAAGTTTATCTCCAAAGCATACAGTCCAGGAAGAAAATTGGAACATCCAACTAACAAAAGCTACTCCTTTTTTTAAAAAAGCACGTTTAAAAATGGTTAGCTCTCCAAACAATACTAAAAAAAGAAAAAAAAATCACACTATAAATATGTATCTACCTCATAATCAAGACAGGTAGAAAACCCATAAATATTTTTAAAGCATTAAGAAGATATTCATTTCTCCTGAACATCAGAAAGTAATTCAATTCAATTCATTTGCACTCTATGCTAAATGTCATGGGGTAGGAAGCCATAAGATCAACATGCAGTCTACTAGAGATGAAAAGTCCCACATTTAAGAATTTAGAAATCCGAGGTGACATCATTCCCATTTGTTACTCAATTTTTCTTTTACCTTTGATCGAAAATCCCAGAATAATATGCCAATCTACTGCCTTTATTGTAATAAAAGAAACCTTTTTTGAGGGGGGTGTGAATCAAAACTAAGGCCCTTGGTAGGTTTCATGTACAAAAATTTCAATCCTTGAATCACTTGATTCTCAGCCTTTCTGTTTTTGTTGTAAGGGGAAAGTATATTACATGGGTCATTTTTAACACATAATACATAAAGAATAAATAAATATGGAGAAATACATTGATTTCAGCTTTTTAATTCTGAAAGACTTAAATAATTTCTATGTATGCATTTCTGGTAAATTGCATTAAAAAAAATGTCAGGGGGAAAAAGGACCTGAATTGCCAAGCCTTCATTAATTCATTGTAATTTATTTTCTCATTCAAAATAAATATTCATTTTCTTAGCTAATTTTGTATTTGTAATCATATTTTTTTTCCTAAAAGAATGACCCAAAACCTATACGCAGTTACCCTAAAATGTGTCCCCTCCCAGGCCCAAGGGAGGTGCTGGTGTCACAAAAGAAAACCTCCAGGCAATTCAGGAGATTTCATGTCTAAGAGAAGGCGCAGTAAATGTGAGACTTAATAGAGGAAGTCAGGCAGGACAGCCAGGTGGGGCCTGGACCAAAAGACTGTCTGATGAGAGAACTCTGTCTGGGAGGGATCATCACACCGGAAAGACAGAGGCTGACAAAATGGATTTATGTAGAATGGATCCTTTGGCAGACCCAGATCTAGATGATTTGATCTCTCTTATTATGATCCCTGAAGGGGAAAAAAAAAAATCTAGAAACATGTTTTAAACAAAAATGTCTGGGCTAGAAACAAAAAGAAAATGAGAGGAAAGAAGGCTTTCGGCTCCAAAACCCTTAACTAGCTTATTCCGTGTTAGAAAAGGGACCAGCATATAAGTTCAACAGTTAAAAACTTGGATGAGTTTTTTTTAATAACAACAATAATAATAAACACATATAGCTTTTACTGTGTGCCAGACACTGTGTACTTTACATAAATTAGCTGATTTAATCCTCCTAATAACTCTTTGAAATGGGTACTGCTGTTATCTCCACTTTACAAATGAGAAATCTGAGGCAAAGAGAAATTAAGTAACCAGTCAACCAGTCAAAGTAACCAGTCAAAGTAACTTTGCTTCACAGCTGGTGAGTGGCTGAGCCAGGATTCACACCCAGCGACCTAACTCCAGAGCGTATGCACTTAATTCTTTACCCTGTGCTGAAAGGCACTGGGAGTGAGGAGGACGCAGGAGTGCATAGAAAAAGAAAACTCATTCTTGGGAGAAACCCAAGAAGTATCAAAGACGCATGCCCTCCTGCCTTTCTCTGAGAAAGAAAGAATGGAAAGATGGGTGAAGATAGAGAAATAATTTGAAATGGTTAAGAGATGTGACTTAGAGATGTTTTCAAGTAGAGAGAGAAAGTCTGTACACTTAGGGCATTTTTTCAGCAGTCCCATAAAAGATGAGGCAAGGTCTTCTCCTAGTGAAGAAAGGTGGGAGGGTGGGTAAACTCTGATGGATATGGAAGAAGCCAACTAGTTTTATAATTTCAATAATCCAACTTGGGGTAAGGAGTTAACAAGAAACTAGATTTTTTTAAATTACATCTTCAAGTATCACATATCTTAGGGACCCGAGCTTTGCGCCAGGGTATTTCCTGGTTCTCCAGTATGTTTCATCTAGGCGTCTCCTGTGCACTGCTCACGTACTCCTTTCACTCAGGATTTGTGTTCTCAACCATTTAAAGCTTTTTTTCCCTTTTGCCTACTCTTTAAGTACCAGAAAGGGCCCAGCAAGGGATGAGGTATGTTTGCTTCAAACTAATTTTTTTTCCTTAAAATATGGCATATATATCCTGTCCCTTCCATCTGGAGAAATAACTTGCAGGTTTTCAAACGTTTTTATCTGTGTGGTAAATCAGGTACCTGTGAGAGTCAACACTGGTTTATTACTCTCTTTTATCCATGAAACCAACACATTCATATTCATTTGAATGACAGAAAAAGAAATGCTTGAATAACTTACTTGTATTGTAGTCCTCTTACGTGGCATAACGTATTCAACTGACCATAATCAATGCGCTTAGACATTTTCAAGCCTACAAAGAAAAAGAATCAATGAAAAATGTGAGTAATTTTGTGTAACCTTATTAACCAAGTGTGTAAATAGAGTTTAATTGCAAACATCCATCAAAGTAAAAGAATTCAGTGAGTATGGAAGTGAGGTATTATGTCTTTATTTGACACACAAGCAGAATTGAACAGGGTGATTAAAATGAGGAAATAATTGAATGTTTTTCACTGATTTCAAATCTGGTCTGGCATTGTTTGTTTGTTTGTTTAATGCCAGTAAATACTGGAGTTTATATATGTCATATAATGTCACTCCTCTGGAAGAAAGCCTTTCAGAATTCCCATCCTATACCTTTAGAATGTGAACTGGTTCCAGAATTCCAGACACGACAATTCAAACAAGAGTTTTCTTGAGGTATCTGTCTCTCTCTGTCTCTCTGTCTCTGTCTGTCTCCATCTGTCTCTGTCTGTCTCTCTCTATCACTCTGGAATACTGGTAATTTTGATTCAATCCTATACAGACCCCCTCTTTGGCCACCATCTCTTCAGAATACCTTCCGGTGTCTGGATTCAGTTTGCAATCCCTTCAGAAGTTAAAGTATAAGTAAATCACACAAGATCCTTTAAGAGCAAAAAGATAGTAAGTATAGCCAAGAAGCAAACCACTTGTGATTCTCCTCCAGTGCCAGAAAGAACCGACATCCTTCAAAGGAGATGGAAAGGAAGATATGAGCACAATCAGCGTCCTTACAATGATGGACACTCACATCTCAGGCTGTCTCCTTACTCCCGGGGAATGCATGCTGTTAGAAATATTGTAAAACAGAAAGCAATGATAAATACAGGCATGCACCTTATTCCTTCCCTTAGTGAAAAGGTATGGAGAAAATCAGTGACTTAACGCATCTAAAACTTTTAAAAATGTATTCATTGACCACACCCAAATAATGAAGAATTGAAATTTGATAGGTCCGAATTTACCTTTTTTGTGTGTGTGTGAGGAAGATCAGCCCTGAGCTAACATCATGCCAATCTTCCTCTTTTTGCTGAGGAAGACCGGCCCTGAGCTAACATAGCTAACATCTATTGCCAATCCTCCTCCTTTTTTTTTTTTTTTCCCTTTTTTTCCCCAAAGTCCCAGTAGACAGTTGTATGTCATAGCTGCACATCCTTGTAGTTACTGTATGTGGGACGCCGCCTCAGCATGCCCAGACAAGCAGTACGTCGGTGTGCACCTGGGATCCGAACCCAGGCCGCCAGTAGCGGAGTGCACACACTTAACCACTAGGCCACGGGGCCAGCCCCCAAATTTACCCTTTTCAATTTCAGGTTACTGAATCGTAAAATTGGACTTTTTATTTAAGTATTTTGTGATCTAAAAATTAATCATCAATCACACATACCACTTTCTAAATATGAAATTGAACTAGGCAAAATTTAAACAGAAAACTGATTGCTCTCCACATAAATCATACCATCCAATAAATTTGAAAATACTGATTACACAATTTAGGAATTTTTTTACCTACATTACTCAGTTACTCCTTAGGAAACAAAAAATTACCTAATTGCATTTTAGCCTCATATGGAATAATTTTAAATAAGCTAAATATTTTTAGTATACTAATGTTTCTGATATAGGATATTATATAAAATCTTAGTTATAGTATATTTTTAGATACATGAATTAAGAAGAGATTTCTATGAAGTATCGGTTTAGTCCATTTTCCTAACCCAATTTAGTACAGAGTTAGAAATAGCCCTGGTGACAGGTGTGGACAGGAAAGGAGGATGGTGTCATAGAGATTTGGAAAAAGGTCAAGTTTTGAGAAAAACTTGACCAAAAAAGGGCTTTAAAAAGTAAATATCTTCATCCTGAAGCTAAAGCAGCTTACAAAAAATCACAGGACAGATATTATAAGACTAAGAATTGCTAGCAGAGAATAAAGAAATTGAAAAATCGCCTTGCCTGAGAGATGCCACAACCCTTAATAGTAAGGTTTTACGCTGGGCTTGGCACAGCCAACTGAACTCAACAAGAATAGGCTACGCAACACTCACAGCCTAGAGGGACACTTGACAACCCACTGAAGAGTCTCCCCTGAGCCTCATTTCCAAGAGGTGTTTGTCACAAAGATGTGGAGCAACATAATGGATCTTGTCTTTGAAGCAGTTTCATTAAAAAGATAAAAGCCAAAAGATTTCAATGTAAAATTGTAACTTTGTAAAGACCAGAAGTTGAGCTTTTCTGGTGATCAAAATTAATACAGAGACAAAGCTTAAAGAGCTTCGAAGAGTACTAAGTTCACATTTGTTTTCCCGTGTTGTTTTCCCACTTGAATATGTCTTAGCTGGGCTTTTGACAGAGTAGAGGGATCTTAACCCTACAATGGGGATAAAATCAAGGATTTTGACCAGAGTAAGTTTGAAAGAGGATAAGAAGCTGATATAAAAGGGTGGTTACAAAGTTAATCCTAAACTAGAAATCCATGGTACAATTAAAACACCAATTATCTTTATTGATAAAAGGCCCACTGTATTTATTGAAATAGAGAAACTAAAATCCAGTATTTTATCTGAGTGATACCTTGATGATCCTTTTTTTATATGTGTTAGTGTTCATTTAGGGATAGATACATATTTTCATATTTGTGCAGAATGGTCAATTAAGTATGCTTGTGGTGGGGGTTATAAAGATTTGTTAAAAATGGATTTTGTGAGCGTTAAAATGCAACTATACTATTTTTCCCCAACAAGCTTAAAAGGTAGATAAATATCCCTTGGAAAAGCTAAGAGGAAGCCATAGAATAAGTGAAGCCTTAGAAATATTGTAAATGCACACTGCTATTTACTAGGACACAGGCTTATCTGAGTGCACAGGGCAAGGCAAAAGAGAGGAACAGCAGAGTGAAAGAGAAAATGTGACAGTGACCACGCGGAAATATCAGAGTATGGTTAGCTAGAGCACAGAGGGCTAAGACCCCTTCAAAGTAGTCGCAGCATACACTCTAATAAATAATCCAGTGATAAGCAGAACTTTGCTTAATTCAATATTCAGAGCACAAAGAAGCAGTTTAGCAGCAATAGCAACAGAAACATTATCAATAAATTTTTGTAGTAAGAATAGCAGTTCTTATACTAATTCTCGTGTAGGACTAACGTACAGAACAAGAAGATGGACAGGAAAAAAGAAAGGATCCACCGGCTCTAACCTGAACTCCACTAATTTTCACACAAATGTCATCCAGGAAAGTCAAACTCGAGATAACCAAAACTTCACTTAAAAGTCTCTCATACTTCTTTCCCTCAAAATCCTGATCCTCCTCCTGAATTCTCCATTTGGGTTAAGAAAATCCCTATCACTTTTCATAACTCTATGGATCCACTTCTCTTACCCCTTCAGGACCAACGTGTTATGAGGGCCATCAATTCTACCTCTTCTGAAATGGATCCTAAACATCTTTCCTCTCCTATCCCAATGACAGGGCCACCAAACAGGGCCACACGGTATGCACACCGTGAAGGAGTACCACTCACACGCAGGCAGCATGTCAGTATCTTGTTTAGACCCTCTTTGACTCTCATCTGTACTGTTGGAATAACTTCCTATCTAGTCTCCCTGCCTCCAACTTCCTTTCCAACCCATCCTCCACACTGCTACGGCAGCATTTTCTAAAATTCCAGTGCAGTTACAGATGTGTCTTGCTTAAAATCCTTCTAATCCTCTACAGGCTAAAGTTTAAATATTTTGTATGGAATGCAATGCCTTTTATAATTGTACCCAAATTAACTTCCATGACCTCATTGAACACCATCACCTATATTTGTCCCCTCTGCCCCTCATCTTTCAACAACACATATTCTGGCTACTCCGTCAACATACCTGTCCTTTCAATATAATGTTCTCTTTGGTTCTTTCTCAACTTAAAAAAAACTCATCCATCTGTTTAGATCCACCTCGAAGTTAAGCTATCTGTGACAATTTTTAAATTTCTCTTCCCTAAAAAAAGGTAGTTGTATTTTCCATTGTGCTTTTATACACCATGAAAATACTTGCACTAAAGCAAACATTCTTCTTTTTAATGACGTTTTCGTTTATGCTTAATATTTCTTCCAATTTATCACAATCGCCTGAGAACAGGGTCCATTACACACTCATGTATAAAACACTAGAATTTATCACAGTGTTTGGATCTAAGTATATATTATTTGCTAAATTATATTGTATAAATAATAAGAACATGGCCCTAATATGTCAGGTGAGGGTCGGTTGTATGCAATGAACATGAGATCAAAGAAAAATAACGAAGGCAGGAAAAATAAAATAAAGTTGTATTTAACAAATATACTTACCAAATATTCTAAAAAAAAACTCTCTGACCCTTGAAGGGTATCATACTTTAATCATTTTACCTCCATTCTACATGAGATTGAAGATCCTGTCAACGTTGTTTCTGGCATTAAAAAGCTATGCACCATGACAAAGAGCCCACTAAATAACATATAGAGTAAAAAGAAGGAAAAAAAATGATCTTCATTAAAATTGAGAATTAAGCATATTTCCTAACTACAAACTCTGAAAAATATCAGCCATATAGTGTGAATTCAATAAACTTTAAAAGATATTCAAGAGCATATGCATACTTCTCGTGTTTGAGAGAATAGGCAGAGTTCTCCAAGGGAAGGTGGTGTAGCCCTGAAGGGTAAAACCAATGAAAACTTACTTGGAATGGGGTGTCCTTGAGACATGGACAGACTAAGGGCCACCCCAAACTCATGATATACATACAATGTAGGACTGAACGAGGATCCCACATATACATATATTTTTTTAAAGATCAGGCTGTTGTGGTGGTAAGATAGAGAAAATGTTAGGTGGCAATCGACACAGAAGTAGCTGATTTCAGTCACTGAAGAGAAATAAATAGAGGCCAAATCACTACCAAGAAACCTTTGGAATATTAATGATGACCGCACTAATTAGATACATATTATTTAGGAAAGAGTACAGAATGGAGTTGATGAT